AATCATTCCTGGCAACGTTGTTGCTCGCGCGTGCGAAACAAAAATAGAGAGAGGCACGCGTAACGATGTAAAAGTGACGTTTTTAGTTAGATCAACGCGAGCTAAAAGCGAGACAAGAACGATATACGTACGTGTGTGTGTAACGCTACGATAAGAAACCGCGATGCTGCTCTAGACTTCTAGACGAGTTAGTCTGCCAATCGATCGAAAAGAGAAAAAAAAAAAAAGAAAAAAAAAAGAAATTACGTCAATTAGATGCCCCCGTCGAGTCCGAGATCGTTTCTAAGCCAGACTCGTTTCTTGTTCCTGCTAAAGAGCCGTAACCTTGAGGGATAAATCGTTCGAAAACGAGTAAATCGTAGGTGTTCAGAGAGCAACGCTTTTTAGCAAAATCTTCCCACTTCGTCGTTTTACTAGTCGACGCTCGTTACGTGGGGTAAGTAGGACATAATGGTTCTTTATAAACTCGTAGCTAATCGAACACGATTGTTCAACATGTAAAAAAAGAGAGAGAGAGAGAAAGAGAGAGAGAGAGAGAGAGAGAGAGCGTCAGGGATCGGTGTTGTACCTCGAGGAGTATTGAGAAACAATTATCGAACCACAGGTTTTGCATGAAAAATTTCTATTCACGACGTGTAGATTATATCGATATGTACAACGATAAGAATTATAAAAATCCGTGTTATCGTTAGTTCCCTGTTTAAAAGTTTACGTAAACGTTTTACATCTTTTGTTACGGAACATGTGTAGTACTCGTTAAATACAAAAAAAGAAAAAAAAAGTGATCGTTCAGAACAGATGCAACGGATGGCTTCGCTTTTCTCGTTGAAAGCAATTTTTCTTCTTCTTTTCTTTTTTTTTTTCTTTTCCAAGCTGTTGGACGTTAAATTATACGCGTTAGAGATGTAAATTATATAAACTGCTATTGAGAGACGATTCCAGCATCGACGCAACGACGGCGTAAATAAATAAGCATGAATATTAAATAAAATTAAGAAGTAACAGAAGTTTGTGTTTCTTCGGATTATCGCCTTATTGTTTCCGGCGACATCAGCGTATTTGTCGCTACTGATGCTGATGGTGCTGTTGCTGATGTTGCGTCCCCTTGACGAGAGTTTCCATCTTCGACTGGTTCTCCGGAGGCGGCGGAGATTGCTTCGTCTTTTTCTTTTCTTCCTCGGTTTCTTTCACCGATGGGGGTGGCAGTGCATTCAGTAAACCTTGTCAAAAAAAAAAAAAAAGTAAATTCGTTAAGTAAAAGCGAGAATAGAAAAATAGAGAGAGAGAGATTTAGTTGAACTGTTACAAAAGGTGAAAGATTGCTTACCAACTGTTTCTCCTTTAAGGGATGCACCTGACATGTTAAAAAAATAGGAATAATTTTTTCACATTTTAACGCCAAGTCTCAGGTTATTAAGACATGACCCCTCTTAAAACATGAGTGAAGAACATACCGTTACCACGATATTTGTTTAATTGCTGGTAGACCTGCTTCATTCTTTCGATATTGATCCTGGAACTCTTGCTGTGATTCACCATCGGTAACGAGTAGTCTTTGCCGACGATACACTTGGCTGCACGCTGCACGCTGAGAGGTGCGTTCCACGGTTCGTGAATATATCTCGTCGGGAAGTTTTTCAGAACCGGCAAGTATCGTCTGTATCGAGATTGATCGCCAGAGAGTATAACGAAACATAGTTTGATAACTGCGTTTATTCTACGTTTACGAATATGAATCAAGGTTTACCTGATGTAATCACCGTTTGGGTCGGCCTTTCTGCCGAATCTCACCGGGCAGTAGCAGTGAAAGAATTGCTGGAAGAAGGAACTGCACGACAACCACATCCACATTCCCGCGTTCACCGACCAGTCGGCGTCTAGCAGCAGCTCGTCGAATACCTTGGAAATAATTTCAAACGAATATCATGCGAAGCTTGGACAAGAAAGATGATCGAGGGATGCTAAGTAGCAACAAAACTAGCATTAGTAATTCCTTGAGTTGACTCAAGTTAACCATCTGTAATGTTCATTGGAACATCAACGGGTAGCCAGCACGGTATTTTACCTTCATCCCTTCTTCCCAAGAGATCCAAAGGTCACCTCTGGTCAGAAAACAAGCGACCGCATGTCTGGCCAAGTGATGTATCCAACCTTCTTCTCTCAGTTGAGTCATGATTGCATCGATCCATGGAAATCCCGTTTGGCCCTGTCCGACAGCAGATCGTCTTTCGATTTTTGATGGAAACTCAAAGAAAAAAGAAGAAACAAACCACGGGCGAATTCACTCACGTTTGCCCACTTGGCAAGTGCCTCGACGTTCTTGTCCCAAGGGATTTGCACGCAGATCGGATTGCCCTGCATCCGATCGAAATTCGGGTTCTTCGTCGCGGCGCAGTAAAAGAATTCGCGCCACAAAAGCTGCCCGTGCAACGAGAGCGGCGGCACCGCCTTTTTTATCTGAGAAAGACATCGGCATGGATTAAAAAAATCGAGTCCCAATTGTAAAACGCATGATCGTAAGAGGACATGATAATTCACGAATAAAGGTAAAAGTTTACCTTTTTGTAGAGGTCAGTGAGCTGATAGTAAAACAGCCGGGTGCTCAGGCATCCAAATCTTAGATACGGCGAGAGGCCGGTTTGACTGGGCAACAATGACTGCGGGGTCATTTTCGGCCTTCCGAAACTAGCCACCCAAGCTTTCCTCTCCAGATGGCGCTCCAACCGTGCCAAAGCTTCGCTCTCGCCTCCGACCCATACAGGTGGAAGAAGACCTTCCGTGTCGAAGCCTAAAAATCATTTAGAGAAATCAATCTGGTTCCGATTTCTCTGGTTTACAACAATTCGAGTCGAGTCACTTTGTGATGTGAACGAACAACGTAAAGTAAATTTTACCGAGTTCTTCGAGTGTTGGGACGCCATAATGATCGTCGTGATCTTCCTTCAATGGGGTGTAGGCCGAGCCTACGCAAACGGAAGTAACGGTCGGCACCGGTGGTTCCGGAGGATCCATGCTGGCAACCACAGTTTGAAATTGGTGATAGGTCAACGGCGGCTTCCCTCCGTTCCTCTCGATGATCCTGAAACCAACATTTTCAACGAATTGGCCAATTTCAACAATCTTGCTTCTAGATTCGATGAAGAAATTCACGCGTTAATGCCATGGATGTGCTCCAGTCCAGCGTGGTATAAATCAGGAATTTCAAAACCATTTGGACTTGGAAAACTCCAATCTAGGCACCCAATAAATTTAGGTCAATCTCAAACGCATACTCGAAAAATATAGTGTAGCCGACGGGGCCGTTTTCACAAAATAACTATTCCCATTCTCATGGGTAGTTACCTTGGGCTTAACACATCTCTGGCTCTACAATTCTTCAAAGTCCTTTGAAAAAGGAGATCCAAGATTCATTAATAAAGAAGGACTTTGAAAGAATTAGGGCAGTAATTGTCAGAAGTCTTTTAAAGCAGTATTAAACCGCAGAAATAATATCAGAACATCTTAGATAGAAGTCAAAGAGAAGTTATGAAAAGTTGATGATATTCTTTATATAATTATCAGCAATCTTTAACATTTTGATTCAAACAAGAATCTAGCAGAAACTTATATAAACTTATTATCCACATCAACCATAATTCTTCATTTTCCACATCAGTGGATAGTCCAAGAGATATACGCAGAGATTGACACCAGTCTTGACAAATATTATCAAAACAAAAGGAAAGAAAAAAACAAGTATCGACGATCATCATCAGTTGGTGTTGAGAGGAAAAGTAAATTGGAGAATGAAGCTACTTGTGGCTCGAAAAAAGCAACATCCTCTGACACTCACTCGTCCAACTTGTAGAGAGTATGCGAGACCCTTTGGACTACAGAGATACCAAGCTCCTTGCACAACGCAGAAATATTATGATCTCGGACGCGTCCAAACGGCTCTGGATCTTCCTCGAAGGTCAGGTTCGTCGTGCCCCATTCTTTGAACAATTTTGGCAGAGCATCCGCCGGTTGCCCTCGTATCACGAACAACCTGGAGTTCAATTTCCTCAAGGAGCAGTCGAGGTCCTCCAAACACTGCAGCAAGAACCTGTCGACAAATTGAGAAGTCAATCAAAAACTGCTAGGTGATTCCTTCATTTCTCACAAAATGACAAGAATAAAAAGCAGTAATTATATTTAAATATAACCCAGGCAAAACGAATAATAGATTTATTACTTCTCAGTAATAATTTCTATCCACTGATATCATACCGTGACGAGTTCAAAAAGAAAGCGACGAATTACTGTATACGATTTGGTTACTCGTTATAGTCCGCGAACCAGTTGCCAGCGCAAGAGGTTAAATACTTATTAGTAATTTCTTATTATTTATACTTTTTATTGGCATTTGTTATTCTTGTCATTTTGTGAAAACGTTGGTCATCTCCATTTTTGACGAACTGTTGCTCACCTCCATTTGTTGATGCCAACGTTCGTACTTCCGGCGAACCACGGATCCAAAACAAACACGCAACGAAAGGTGGAGGCTCCGACGAGACCCTCCCTCAACGATGGATTGTCGTGCAGTCTGAGACCCTTGCGAAACCAATGAACCGTGTGCTTCCCGCCCTCGCCATGCAACGTCACTTCCGGATTTATTTCACTACTGCGACTACCCGTCATTTTCCCTCCCTCCTCACGAGACTCGCTTTCTTTCAAAGTCCCCCCTCCTCCTTTCTTCTCTCGATTCTTTCGTCTTTTCTCTCTCTCTCTCTCTCTCTCTCTCTCTCTCTCTCTC